TTGTAAACTACCTTGGCAATAAAGATGCACAGCAAAGGAAATTGGCATCATCTGACATTTTATTTTTCAGAGATAATTGCTATGAACAATTTACTGAGTATTATTGGCCTTTCTGTGTTTACATGTATAGACAAATACGTATCTGTGTGCATAGGTTTAGCTGCATGTGGATACAAATGAATACAGATACAGAGATGGTATTATACTGCACTCCAGGTTTTATAGTGTGCTTTTTTTCATTTGCTATCAGATCCTTTCTAGAGACTTAAGCTCAGTTCATTGTAGAATAGGAGAGTTTGATTAGGACTCCAGTCCTCATTAAATATTCCTCCTAGTTTTGGTAGGTGTAGGTGGGACAGGTAACTGGTAGAATCAAACTCCTTTAGCCATCTCTGGAGCAAGTAAGTTGCCCTCAGCTGCACCCACTAGTACTTCAGGGTGGAATTTCAGCCTCAGGGACTTTGCACCAGAGTCTGCCAGCTCTGATTCCCTCTGTTGCTGTCCAGGGCAGCCCTTGTGCTCTCTGTCTTCCATGGGGTTGGGGGGAAGGGAGCTTCAGGGACAGCAAGAGAGCAGGGTTTAAATTCTAGCCCTGTCACAATTGGCTGGAAGGCCTTGAACTAATCTGCCAATACTGAATTATCTCTTCTGTAAAATAGAACATTCCCTCCCAGGGTGGGTGAGAAGCCCACTGGAAGTAGCCATTTCACTGGGAGTCCCCCCCACCCCACCAAACCGGGCCTGCTGCCCACCTACACACTGTGCTCCAGAGGTGGAGACTCCCCCACCGTGGCTGCTCTCCAAGGCTGCCTCCTCCATTCCTCTCACCCTGAGCTGTGCCCAAGGCCGCCATCCCCCACGGGGTACACAAGAAGCTTCTGTGGTCCAGGGAGAAAGGCAGATGGCCCTGGCCTGAAGACATGCTGGGATTGGCATGACACAAGGGCTTTCCCCTGGCCCCGAGGAAGGCAGAGGCCTCACTTTACACCACATCACACACCCACAATGCACTGGGTGCCTGGACTGGACTCTTCTGTCATCCTTGGTACCAGATCAGAGCTGGTCCCAGAAGGGCTGGCCTGCCTTCTCCTGTTACACATGCACCCCCACCTCCAGCTGTCATTAGGTGGTTTGGGGAAGGAGAGCCCAGGGCTGTCATGCCAAGGCCTGCCCTGGGTTGTGGGGGACCCCCCTTCCCCCTCACGCACTGCCTAGTGCTTGAGCTAAGAATAACTCCTGTGTGAAATGGGGATGGTGGGATCCCAGCTGCGCACCCCGTGGGACTAACACATGGAGAGCAGGAGCGGAAAAGCAGGAGCAGTCACACTTGCAGCACCCCATCCGTGCTCGGTTCCATAAGGTACACGCGCAACACTAGAAAGGGTAAGCTAGGTTATTATGTCCTTTAACGGAGGAGGAGACAGGCACAGAGCGGGCAAAGTCTCCCTAGTTTATATAGCCAGTGAGGAGTGACGTTCCCAGGCCTTTCTCGTATCTGCCTTGCTGTGGCAGCCCTGGGATCCCTTTTCTTTCCTTTTTCCTGGCTTTCAACTTGGTTTAAAATGTCATCTTCCCCCTCACCCCACTCCCGCCCCTCACCTGTATCCTGTGACAGAAGGTCCCATGGAGGGGTGGAGGAGACCAGGTAGAACCTGAATCCAGGGCCCCAGGCTGCTTCCTGGAACAACATTTGGGTGGCTCCTGGGTCTCCCTTGCTGCCTTCCTCTCTTCCTCTTAGAGGGTCTTCCCCTAGTGGGGCCTGTGAGGCTGTTAGCCCTGCAGGCAGCCTTGGCTAGCCCAGCACACACAGCACTTAACGCTAACTCTTCCGCAGTGCAAGAGGATTTTGGGCTGAGGCAAGTGACTGTTCCAGGCTTAGCATGAGTGTCACAAAGTCAATCCTCCCCCCCCCCCCATTGACTAAAAGGCCTAAGGCTCTTCAGTGGGAAGGTCCCTCCTTCTAGTCTCTATCCCTTCCACTTGTGGTCCTTGGCCTTGCCCATAAGACTCTGCTGATTTCTGTTGGCATCTGGGGCTCTAGCTCCCTCTGCTGGTGGTCCCTGGCAGTGTCCTTGGAACTGCTCCTCGCCCCCCCCCCCCCTTTCTGGTGGCGATTCTCTGGTCCAGGGCTAGTCCAGCACTCTGCACTGTTACCTGCCAAAGGCAGGAAAAGCAACAGTTGCATTTGGGATGCCCAGGTGTGACATGGGCTTGGGTCTTGGTGGTCCTCACTGAACATGATGCTGGCTGGTTAGAGCAGAGAACTGATGTGCAAGTGTTGGTAAATCGGAGCCTACTCTCCAGCTTACCCCACTCCAGGGCAGTGCTCTGGGTTTTCAGTGATACAAGCCTTTCTGATCCCAAGGCACTTAGAAGGGTTTGCTTCATTAGATGCTTCCAAGGGCGCTGTGAGCAAACGTCGAGGCAGGTGGACAGGCTCAGGCAGTTAATGACCTCTGCAAGGCTATGTACACCCAAGCCCTCATCTCCCCTGCTTGTATTCTCCAGCCATACCTTGCCTGTTGTAGTAAATTGGATTGTTCTCAAGCTTTCATTCTCAAGTGCCTGTAGAGGGCGACAGAGGTCCTTCCTGCTGGGCTGTTCTGGAAACTTAGGCCCCCTGAATATAACACCTTTGAAGCACATAACCCAGGATGGTGGTGGTATACCACCATGCCAGACACAGAAAACATTTTATTGCCCTTTTGGATAGACAAGAGAATTTCTTTGCCAGGAAAGGTGATCTGCCATACCTTTGCTGGAACTCTGCCTGATGTATTTGGCCCTCTGTAGCCTGTCTTCTATGTCTGGTCTACAGTGTGAAACCTGCTGGCCCATCCCTCCATATGAGTCCTGGACATGGGTACCAGTGCTGGGTCATATATGATCCCCCGATGGATCTCAAATCAAAGTTCTGGACCCCAGACCAAAGTTGCCAGAGTCTCAGAACTTCTGTCTTGACCCCATGGCCTGTTCAGAGGGTGACAAACACTAAAGGTTTTATCAGTCCTGGCTCTGGAAGATGCCAAGGGCCTGGCCTGGGAATTGCAATACCTTGGCTCTCTTGCTGTGTGTCGTGAATCCCTCTACCATTTCTTCTTTTTCCCTTCTGTCCTGTGTAACATGATGCAGAACTAGAAAAGAGATTTGGTTAGCAAGCATTTTCAGTATTTTCCTCTTGTATCTCCACTTCCCCTTCCCACTAGCCTGAACTTTCAGATTGGAACTCTGTGTACTTTTGAAATTGAGCACAATGCATGACCCATGGTAGTCTATGTTTGTTGAATTCAGTTTTATGTACCTGAAATTGGCCAGGGCCTCTCAGTATTTCTCTTAAGAGTGTGCTAAAATATACTAAGCTTTTTAAAATTCAATTTTATTTTATTGCAAAGGTGATGTACAGAGGGGTTAGTTACGTAAGTAAGGTAATGAGTACATTTCTTGTCAAACAGTGTTAACCTCCTCCCCTGTTTTCTCCTACTTTCCCTCCCTCCGACTCCCTTCCCCCCAAGCTGTAAAGTTCATTTCCAACCTAGTGTCACGTGAGTGTCGCTGTTGCATTGGTTCTCCCTTTGTCCTATTATTCCCCTTCCCTTCCCCCAGTCAGATAAATGTACATGTACTGAAATTTAAAAAGTGCCATAAATTGAAACTAAATGGATATGAACTCCAAGATAGGGAAACAAAAGACTTTTTAAAAAATATACTGTGTGAAGTTAATTCTTTTTTATTTCGTTTTTTTCCTCCTTTGGTTTATCCCTGCTGTAACTGTTTTTGATTTTGGTACCCTGTGTCTTGTATACTAAACTTTTTTTCTCCTGGTCCAGCCAAACTCATGAAGTAGAAAAGTGCCCAACTATGTCCATATGCAGTTTACCTTATGTGGCCACACGGTGGCAGTGTGAGCTCACAGGGAATCTCACCTGCAAACTATTGGGCCCAGCACACTCCATGGGAGACAACAGCTATTAGTGATTCTTTCTGGACACCTGTGGGGGGCTTCAACTTTCTTAAAAGCTGGGCAGTTTAAACAGCCAGGAATGTTTTTTGTCATACCAAGAGGTCATGAAGGATACTTGGCCACGTAACCAGGGTCCAGGTCTCTGCTGTTTGTCCTGTTTGCCTCCCTCCGCGCACTGTCCTCATAAGCCTGCCTCCTAATGATACCAAGGTGACTGGCATGGTCCCAAGTACTAGATACAGCAAAGATGACGTAGATTCCCACACTTTTTTTTTTTTTTGGTTGGATCCTCTCAGTCCCTCCAAAGTTCTCCTGGGCCGGTTGAGTGTTAGGCATGCAGCCAGACCAGTCAGTCAGCAGCAAAGGATGGAACCAGTGAGACTGGCGCGTAGTCAGGGCTTAGCCTCTGGGACAGGTGAGATCCCAGCATCGCTTTTCATTCCTGGATGCGTGGTCCAGAAAACAAGAGGGGACTGGAACAAGGCTCAGCTAGTTCCATATCTTGCTCAAGATTGCAAAACTGGTAAGAACTGGAATTCAGGCCTCTAGAGGCCATCTGTTGGTTGGGTGAAGTAAACTACAGGGAGAAAGAACACTGGCTCTGGATCTGGTGTGTGGTGACCTTGGAGACACCTTTTCCTGCTGTCTGGAATCTCCCTCTCTAGGCCCCTTTCCATGACTGTTGTGGTTCTTCTTTCTCTGCACACCCTGTCACCACTCTCCCTGACACCTGACCCTGACCGCCACCTGCTTTTTTAGTACACTTATCTGTAGTAGGCTCCGTTGTCCAGAATGACCCCGGGGCTGGTCTCAGCCTGCCTCTCAAGGCCTCACCCGTCAGTTGAGGTTCCATGTTGCGCAGTCCTCCTGGCTTCCAGAAGGGGGAGCCAGAGAGGAAGCCGGTGAGGCTGAGAGGGAAGTGGGAGTAAAGGTGTCAGTATGAATACTGGCATGTGGGCCTGGGCTTGGAGGTGGACCCATGGGAAGGGAGAGGTCATCCTGTTCAGCCTGGGTCACTCAGGAGACACTGGCCTTGCAGATGCTCCAGGACTGTCCCAAGGCTCGCAGGGAGGTGGAGCTGCACTGGCGGGCCTCCCAGTGCCCACACATCGTGCGTATTGTGGACGTTTATGAGAATCTGTATGCGGGGAGGAAGTGCCTGCTGATCGTCATGGAGTGGTAAGCAGCCAGGTGGAGACCTGTACAGCCCTGAGTCTTGAGGTCCTGATGGGACTTCATCAGAAGGAGGGCTGTGGGCTTACATTAGCCTCCTGCTGCGCCTGCCCCGGGCCTTGCTCCTGGGACATCTCTCCCTCTGAGGACAGCCCATTTCTTTGACGCTTGGAATGTGAATGCTTGCCTTCTGCCGGGGGCCATGGTGCACGGGTGGGGAGAGGAGGGGCTCTGGGTTCCTAGCTCTCACCCACTGTGGCTTTCCTGCAGTCTGGATGGTGGGGAACTCTTCAGCCGAATCCAGGACCGGGGAGACCAAGCGTTCACAGAAAGAGGTAAGAAGGGGTCTGCTGTGGGGACAGGCAGCGGGAGTGTGCAGGGCCTGGTGGAGGCCAGGCCGGGCCTCCCGCAGCCTCTCCTCCAGCAGAGTGGACGTCCTCTTCGTTCTTTCTGGGGTGCAGGACGGTGGGTGGTGGTGAGCTGGCTGCTAGTGTATGGGGCTTTCAAGCCTACGGACACGTCCCTGTCATCCTTTCCCTCTCCGTAGAAGCGTCAGAAATCATGAAGAGCATTGGCGAGGCCATCCAGTATTTGCACTCGATCAACATTGCTCATCGAGACGTCAAGGTACCAGCTGTTCAGGCCCTTGTTCGAGTGCTTTGTAGGCTGTGTGGGAGGGCTGCGGCCTAGGACCAGAAGGGACTGGGAGGATGCTATGGGGGCCGGAAGGAGCCTGCAGAGGCGGAGCTTCACTTGCCTCAGTGGGAATGCTGCTTGTGGGCCAGGTTCGTTTGGAGCAGACTGGTGAGGCCATTGCCACCCTTGCTGAGCCCATGGTACTCCAGGAGCACTCCACATACTGACTTCCGGCTGCCTGGGCAGATGGGGCGGCCCCGTGAGGGCCCTGCCCTGTGGTTCTCATCCTGTCCCTGTGATGAACGTTCATGGTGGGTCCCCTGTTCGCCTGTCATCTCCAGGGCCAGCCTCTGTTCACATGGAGTGCTGTGCAGGGGGCCTGGATTAGTGACAGTCTTTTATCTTTTTGGGGTCTGACAGCCTCTCCCAGGTCCGACAAGGTTGGTAAGCATCGCTCTGTCTCTTTCTATAGCCTGAGAATCTCTTATACACCTCCAAAAGGCCCAACGCCATTCTGAAACTCACTGACTTTGGTTTTGCCAAGGAGACCACGAGCCACAACTCCTTGACCACTCCTTGTTACACGCCGTACTATGTGGGTGAGTCCAGAGGAGGCCCAGGCTGCTTGTCCGTCCCACAATCCATCTCACTAGCTCCTTTACTGGCCTCAGGGGCCACAGGTCCTTGCACAGCCCAGTCCTCATGGCCCTTGCTGGCGTTGGTTCTGATGAGATCCCATCAGAAGCAAGGCTGTGGAATTCAACTAGGACCGAGGAATTGTAGAAATCCTCTGCCTATGATTATGGGCAGTGTTTTATACACCCACGCACTGTTTTTGGGATGTGCCATCATTTCTGTGAGGTCGTCATTGGCATCTGGGACCCAGATGTGGCTCTGGAGTCCCAGCTGACTATTCTAGAACAAACTCCCAAAGCATGCTTATGAAGTTAAATGGACAGCATGGATTTGCAAGTCTCCAGTAGTTCAGGAAGCTGCAGGGCACCCCCTGGGGAGGGAGTTTTCTGCTCCCTGCCCCCTGTGCAGTGTTCCTCCCTTCGTGATGGTCCAGGTGTTGGGGGAATCTCATCTACAGAGACCCTGGGTAGGTGTCAGTGTTCTGAGGGCCACAATGTTGGTCTTTGGTTTGCAGCTCCAGAAGTGCTGGGCCCAGAGAAGTATGACAAGTCATGTGACATGTGGTCCTTGGGTGTCATCATGTACATCCTGTGAGTGTGCGGGGCAGGGGGCTGGCTGGCTGGCTGGGCTGGCTGGGGGGCAGGGCAGGGAGTCAGGGCGGCCAGGCCCTCTCCAGAACAAGGGGAAGAGGCAAATGTCAGCAATCCCCTTTTGAGTGGGGGATTCCCCGGGAATCCCCCTCCTGCCCCCTTCTCTCAGCCTGTAGTGGGATCTGTCAGGTGGGGTAGAAACTAGCCCCTGGGCACGTGGTGAAGATCCTTGGTGTGGTGGATGCCGGGTCTGAACTGTCCTTCGACTGTTGTGCCTAGATCAAGGAGCCCCTATTTCTCTGTGACCTTTACAAGGAGAAGAGACTTTTGACACCCTTGTCCTGTCTGGTCCTCTCCTCCTGACACAGGCTGTGTGGGTACCCTCCCTTCTATTCCAACCATGGCCTTGCCATCTCTCCGGGCATGAAGACTCGCATCCGAATGGGCCAGTATGAATTTCCCAACCCAGAATGGTCAGAAGTATCCGAAGAAGGTATGAAATCGGCCTTTTGGTACAAGATGAAGAGCCCTTGGTGTATGTGTGTACGTGTGCGTGTGCGTGTATGTGCATGTGTGCGCATGCATGCCTGACATATATGTTGATGTGCCTGTGGGTATCTACTTGTGGGTCTACACCTGCCAGGTGTGTTTTGTCAGTGTCAAGTAGCCGAAGTCAGGCCTGGGCCATGGGGCTGGATAGGAACTGCCATAATGGACCTCAGTGATCCCCACTGCTTTAGGCCTGGTTTTCTCTAACAACTGTGCACAGGGAGTGGCCTCTGAGCTGTCTTCCCTCCCCCCCCCCCCAGTGAAGATGCTGATCCGGAACCTGCTGAAAACAGAGCCTACCCAGAGAATGACCATCACAGAGTTCATGAACCACCCCTGGATCATGGTAAGCCTGGAAGCTTGGAATGCTCTAGAACTGAGAACATTAGCTCTCAGGACAGCAGGGTCTTAGCCAACACTCCCCCACCCCCCCAGGCTTTTACTTGATCCCCTTTTCTCTCTCCTCAGCAATCTACAAAGGTCCCTCAGACGCCACTGCACACCAGCCGGGTCCTGAAGGAAGACAAGGAGCGGTGGGAAGACGTGAAGGTGAGGGGGCCTCTGCTGAGCCCCACAAGGGTGGGTGGCACTAGCTGGGGACAGCATGGTCTGCCTCCCCCCCCACCCCAGGGGTGCCTCCGACAGGAGCAGTACCTGAGCTGCTTGTAGGCAGAGGTGATTTCCTCTCAGAACTGTGCTGGCGATGCCCTACCCCCCCTCAACCCCCCCACTCTGGGTCTCCACTAGGATCTCCCCATCTAGGCCATCTCGCACATCCCATTTTGCAGATAAGAAAACTGAAGCCCAGAGAAGGCCAGTAATCTATTTAGATCATACAGTTGGTGACTGGCCTGAGACTGGACCCAGAACTGCTGACCCCTGGCCTAGGGCTTTTGTAGGGGATCTGGGGAGACCAGTAGGGCAGCCTGACCTCTGGGCTTGGGGCAAGCTATTGTTATCAACATGGACTCACAGACTGGCCTGTCCTCTTCTCTCCTGTTCTGGTCTTGCGCCCTCCTCCTGCCCTACCTGTGTCTTGTCTCTTCTGTTCTCTGTCTCTCTCTCTCTGTCTCTCTGGTGCATCTTTGGGCTTTTTTTCTATTGCCCCTTTCTGACACAATCCCTCACTGCCCTGACCCAGGAGGAGATGACCAGTGCCTTGGCCACAATGCGTGTTGACTATGAGCAGATCAAGATCAAAAAGATCGAAGATGCGTCCAACCCTTTGCTTCTGAAGAGGAGGAAGAAAGCGCGGGCTCTGGAGGCAGCAGCGCTGGCTCACTGAGCCGCCAGCCTCCCGCACTGCCGGAGGACAAGCAATAACTCTCTACAGGAATAGACACGGATCGCCCACCTCTGCTTTCTCTGCTCCTCAGCTGCATGGAGCCCGGAACCGCGGCGGCGGCTGAATTTCGCCTTTGGCTCGGGCCACCTGGAGGGGGAAGGCTGGGAGGCTGTGGAAGAGGGGCAAGGTGCTCTCAAACCTGTGCTCGTTTTGCAATTTTATCAGTCATCTGACTTAGAATTTTTATGGAATCTCTTTTATTGTCTTTTCTCCCCACTCTTCCTCCCTCTGCCCCCCCCCCAGTGGGTACTGCCAAGGTTTGGAGATTGTCCAAGGGTATTGTGGGAAGACATTACAGGGAGTGTCCCACGTTGTCCCACCTGCCTCCCCCTGTGTTCCTGGTATAGTCCGGAGCCCTCCTTGGATCAGGTGTGGGGGGTGCCAGCCGCCTCCTCTGCTGGGGTCCTCACCCGTGTGCCGAGCAGATAGGAGTGAGTGCGAGCGTGTGTGCATGTGTGCGTGTTCAGATCTGCACTGGGGCTGTGCACGTGAGGGTGCCCCGCCCCCCGCCCCCACCTTTCCGAGCTGCCGAAGTGCCTGGGAAGCCTGACGAGGAGCCAGGTGGCCGTGGCCTGTGTGCTCACTGGGGAAGGGGCAGCAGGTGGCTGGGCACCAGCACAGCCATCAAAAATACTGGATCCCCCCCCTTTCCCTCTCAGGACCCCCTCTCCCTGGAAGCATCAGTCCTAGATTCCTGAGGGGGGCACCTCTATGAATGGCCCCTCTTCTTCCCCTTCCTGCCATTATTAACTTGTTCCTGTTGATTTGTTTTTTTTTTTGGTTTTGTTTTTTTGGTTCAGTTTCTAGCCATTGCTCAGTGGCCGCCTCTCAGCTCACGTGGGCGAGCCTGGGCAGGTCATACCAGAAGCCTTCGGGTCTCATGCATCTCTCCTGGCCTCTGGGTATCAGCCAGCCTCCCCTTGTGGACAACAGCAGGACCGGTGCTGTGGTCCTCCTGTAAACTTCCACTGTGTGGCCTAGTGGGTAGGGGAAGTCTTCGCACCAAAGATGTCCCGACTCTGCCCCCTATCCACTAGCCACCTTCCCTCACCCCTCACAACAACTCAGCCTGTGAAGGGGGGAGGAGCTCCCAGTATTGAAGAGGAGCAGGTAGGGCGAGTCCTTCATGCCATGGTCCTCCATTCCCTTCCCTTTGGAGGAGGGGTGGCTCCCTCAGGGGTTGGTGGTGGAGGGGCACCCGGGTTCCTCCCGCCTGGGGGCCGGGCAGCCCCTCCCTCATCTGTGTGATGGTGTGTCCAGCACTCAGACTGTTGTAAACTGTTGTTTTGTATGAGCGAAATTGTCTTTACTAAACAGATTTAATAGTTGAACGTTTCTTTCTCTTCATTCCTGGGGCTCAGGCTCTTCACCCCTCACCTCTGCTTTTCCTACCCATAGAAAGTTTTGCATACTGAATGCAGAATTTGGGAGGGGAAAAGATGACCTCCCCAGATGGTACTCAAAGCAGCATTACCCCACTGTGGGCCAAGGGGAAGATGTAGCGTGGGGATTGTGAGTGCTGCTCTTCTTCAGAGCTGGGAAGGGTGGTGGGCCGTGAGGCCTGAGGAGCCCTTTCCCTTTTGACAATATGGCCTCATGAACCAAGCTGCCTCTGAGTCCAAGAATCTTGTACCTGCATGGCCACTATCTGGTGGCTATTCACTTGAGGCCTGGGGAGGGGGGCAGGGCTGAGGAAGGGAGCGCCCAGGCAGTAGTACCTGAGAATTCCAGCAGGGGGCGGTAGGGGTCAGCCAAGTAACCAAGGTACCCTGAGCTGGAAGAGACCTCAGGCTTCCAGTGAGTCAGTTTCCTCCTAAGACCATAGATGAACTGGCTTGCCTTGGTCCAGGCTAGAGTGGAATCTGATTTGCTGTTCACATGGCTGCTCCTAGCCTTAGACTCTCACTTGGCTTTTTCACTCAAGGCTAGTGCTCCACCACGCCATTGGAATTACCGCTCCACTTCAGCTTTTTGGTGGTCAATTGGAGATAAGACTCCCACAGACTTAACTGTGGAGGCTGGCTTCACACCGTGCTCCTCAGCTCTCCCCCACCTGAGTAGCTAGGATCATAGGCATGAGCCACTTGCACTAGGCTCAGACCTCCTTCAAAATATGCACAGGAGGTGCCAGAGGTGGCAGGAACTAGGTTCTACACCACTGAGGAGTTTCTTTCTGTGAAGGTGTGGTGTTTTCTAAGCTATGCAAGCTGCTGCAAAGAATGCAGCGAGACAATAGATTCCTAAAATGCTAGGTCCCCGAAGGAGTTGTCTTTTTTTTTTGTCACCAGTAGAACCCTGCCCACCAGAAGGTCGCCCTGCCCCACAGGTCTGTGGTCTAAGCTGGCTCAGGCGGAGGGCCCGGCTACGCTCTATCCACCCCTTGTGATGGTGAGGCAGTTGAGTTGGTAAACAATAACAGTAAATTTGGGGTTTTCCTTTGCCTGGGTTGGAGACAGGAAATGTTGAGGGCTGTGAATGATGCGTAGGTATGTAAGCTGGGTAGATTGGGTTGGTAGACCTTGCTTGACTTGTAAAGATCAGTTACTCAGGGAGGAAGGGGGTGGTGAGGCTGGGCAAAATGTTGGTTTCGGGCTGGGAAGGTGGCTCAATGGTAGAGCGCTTGCCTTGCATGCCTGAGGCCCTGGGTTTGATTCCTCAGCACCACATAAGCAAAAAGAAAAAAGCTGGAAGAGGTGCTGTGACTCAAATGGTAGAGCGCTAGCCTTAAGCTGAAGAGCTGAGGGACAGCACCCAGGCCCAGAGTTCAGGCCCCACAACCGGACCCCCCAAAAAAACAAACATAAAAACAAAAAACAAAATGTTGGTTCCACTGAGCGAATGTAAACAACTTCTCTGGGCATTCCCAGGTGGGAAACACAATCTGTTACTTGAAGTATGTTCTTAAAGGGCCCAGCCACCTCAGCTGGCTGAGTGTGAAAATAGCTTGTTTATTATTTACTCATTTGTATTTTTTCTCTTTGTGTGTGTGTGTGTGTGTGTGTATGCCAGTATTGGAGTTTGAACTGAGGGCCTCACTCTCACATTTAGCTTTTTCACTCAAGGCTACCACTTGAGATGCTGTTCCACTTGTGGCTTTTTGTGGGTTCTTTGGCTGTAAGAGTTTCTTGGATTTATCTGCTGGGGCTGGCTTTGAATTGATCCTCAGCTGTCAGCCTCTGGATTAGCTCTGGTCACAAGTGAGACCCCCAGTTCCTGGAAGGAGGAGCTCCTTTAGAAGGGGCCTCAGGCTTCAGTTCCAGTGGCCTTTCCTCCATTGCAACCACCTTCCCTTTAGGTGCACCCAGCACCCTAGGGAGAGGTCACCCAACATTGCACACCAGGGCCATCCCGTGCCATAGCAGGGCCTGCCTATGCTTAGGGTTGGGTTGGGGGAGACCAGGGTCTCTCCTGGAGGAGCTGTTAGGGTGATGCAAAATGCTGGTGTGCCAGCCATGCGCCGGTGGCTCACACCTGTAATCCTAGCTACTCAGGAGGCTGAGATCTGAGGATCACAGTTCAAAGCCAGCCTGGGCAGGAAAGTCCATGAGACTCTTATCTCCAGTAAACCACCAGAAAACCAGAAGTGGCGCTGTGGCTCAACTGGTAGAGCGCTCGCCTTGAGCTGAAGAGCATAGGGACAGCGCCCAAGCCAAGAGTTCAAGCCCACGACTGACCAAAAAAAAACAAAAAATAATGCCTGTGTGAATAGCGAGCGCCTTGTTCCCCCTTAGGACTGTGTCGTCCGTGTCTAGGTGTCACTGCAGCCCCTAAGGGCTCTTCCTGGTTCTTTAGCTTGGCTTTCAGTCTCCATGAGAAACTGCGTTTCCGCTTTCAATGGGACGCCCTTGGTGTTTTCTGACCATTTTCTTTCTCCAGCCCTTTCAACCTTCATTCACAATGTTTGCTCTTCAAAACCAAATTTTGGGAAGATGATCTGTCAGGGACTTCCCCATTTATTTTTCAGTTCATAATTTGTTTTTTTTTTTTTAAAGCTTTTTGAGTGTGTTACCTTAAACTGAGATCATTATTATTTATTTTTAGTAAATGAACCATTATGGAAAAGTTTTTTTTTTTTTAAACACGAACTTGGGGCTTTCGTGGAAGAGCAGGAGGAGTGCTCCCTTGCGCCTTCTTCTTCATCTTCCCTCAGAGGTCCCCAAACCACAGTTAGTGTAAAACCCTGGCGAACTTCCATAAGGCAGACACTAAAGTGGATTAATTGCTGAACATTCCATCCTTTTGATTAGAATAACATTTTTATTGTTATTATAAAGGTGACACTTGGAGAGGTTACAGCTACGTAAGTCAGGTGAAGAGTACATAGTTCTTACTGAACAAAGGGTGCCCTTTCCCTCTCTCTGGTCATCCTTTTGATTTTTAATACACCAACTGGAACCTTCTGGAGAAAATTAATTTTGCTCTGATGATGAACTTCTACCCAAAGGCTTGGGGCAAGAAGTTTTGTCCATCCTGACTGCAGAATTTCAGGTGGGGCCTGGGGGTGGTGGAGGGACTGTCAGTGGAACCTGTGTTTGCCAAGTCATTTTCAGGGTTGCCATGCAAATGCGTTCATTTGCATAACTTTCTTGCTCTCAGGACAGTAAAGTTTCCTATCCCCCTCACTAGGATTTGCAAGTGAAATTTTGGCACTGGCTTTTTCCCTTTGCCACCCCCTCCTATCTCTGTTCTCAGGTCCGCATGACCAAATACTAACTAGTCATAACCTCTCTGATCCTAAGGGAGTCTCTTTCCTGGGGCTTGAATATGCAAAATATCTGTAAAGATAATGCAAATGAGCACCTCCATCTGGTGGCCAGTGCAATTCCTAGTTAAAGCCACTACTGTGGCTGAGTCCCTGTGAAATGTGATCTTAGCCCTGGCTCAGGCTGGACGTCTGTGGGTCCAAACAGCTCAAGACCATTGGCACAACAAGGCCTCCAGTTTCAGAATGAGCTGTCTTCCTAGCCCTCACCATCTGCTCTGGATATCTGCTGTTCTGAAGTTACCCATCAAAGGTTTACTTTTTAGAGATGTTTGATCTGAGACTGAGACCTTGATTAGCCAGAGTCTGCAGTAAGAGAGAGCCCGTGTTTGCAAAAAGAAAGGAGGGGCAGCTGGTTTTCTGGCACTTAGCGGTCTCCTTTTCTGATCATAAACCTATTCTAAGGAAATGATCCTCATAATGAGACTGGAACCCTATCTCAAACTCCACCCACGGCTGGGACAAGTGCAGGCCCTTTGCTAAGCTGGTCTGCAGGGGTAGCAAGAAGGAGACCAGAACCAGTCTGACCTGCTGACGCCAGCTTCCAAAAATGATGGCTAAGTCAGGATAGGTGCTTCGTATCTGTTGGTTGGGTAAATGTACCTGAAGAGAAACGAATACAAGTAGCAAGGCAAACAGAAATGACACACAATTCTGTAGCCACAAACGGAATCCACAAGTTAAATATTTCACCTCTTCTCATGTCAGTTCCCTGTCCAGACATCACTTCCTTTAACAATTTGATTTTATTTTGGTTTTAATACAAAAAGTTTCTGTTATGCATACATAGATATTTACAAACATGGCTGAGCAATTTATTGGAAGATTATAAAAAGTATAAATGGAATTATAATTCTAAAAAAGTTGTAGTAAGAACAAATAAACCATCTTAGCTGATGTATTTATGATACTGAGCATTGAACTCACAGACTTGGGCATGCTAGGCAAAACTACCACACACACACACACACACACACACACACACACACACACACACACAGTCCATTTATTTATTTAAAGTTTGTTTTTCAGTGGAGGGTCTCTAACTTTGGGCTGGCCTCAAGCTATAATTCTGTCTCCATCTCTCTGGAATACCTGAGATTACAGACATGCATCACCCTACCTGGCCCCTTATTGTAAATACTTGTGTTAGTGTATTTATGCTATCAACTCTGAGAACTTTTTAATTAAAAAAATATAGCTTGCTTTTAAGTTACCATAGCTCCGTGAGTATCCATGACTGAACACAGAAATGCTCTATCTATCTATCTATCTATCTATCTATCTATCTATCTATCTATCTATCTATCTATCTATCTCATCCGTCACCTATTTACGTCTGCAGAGAATTTCATAGTATGGATGGCCACAATCTTACTTGGCTATCTACTATTGGTTAAACAAAATATCCACTAATACACGTTCCTTTTTTTTTTTTAATTTTGAGATAATCCCATTCTGTAGCTAACCTGTCACAGAACACTTGGTTAATTCAGGCTGGTCTTGAACTCACAATCCTCTTGCTCCAGCATAGGTTATCCCCTCTTTCTGCTGGTTATTCTTGTGGCT